TCGCTCGCACGGTCGGACGCAAGGCTCGAAATGTCTGGTGCTCTGGGGTCCTTCCTGCTGCCACTTACGGCGCCGAAATCTCAGGGATTTCCGACGGGGAACTTTTGGCTTTAAGACGGTCCTTTGCCAGTACTATCAAGCCGAGTGCGGGTGACCGCTCGCTTTCGATTCTTCTGCATCTGGAAAAGGACCCCACCTGGGCGGTTCAGATTGCTCCGATATGTAGGTGGCATAAGGAACTCTGGCACGCCCATTTGTCCTCTCACCCCTCGGTTTTGAGTTTTGCTGAAATGAGAGAAGCGTGGGGGTCGGTTTTTGGTTTGGAGTCCAAGTCTTGGAGATCTGTTTCAGGTCCAATCTCAGCCATGAGGAAAAGTCTCGAGAGGATCAGTTGGCAGATGCCCAACTTCGCCACGCTGATCGACGATCGCGGCGTGGAGTTGCCGTTGCTGTGCCTGTCGCCTGCTCTCGTGCGCCATCTCGCCATGGAGGCGGTTTTCAGACAGCTGGAGTGGATGATTGGAGGTAAGCTTTCTCTCCCCGGTCGGGGCTGCCTCGATGTCGTCCATGAAGCTCTAGCTACCAAACGTTTTTCTCCGCTTGAAAAGGGCATTATCCGAGCCTGGAGCACGGGTGCGGTGTGGACTCGCATCTACGCCAGGTCCAAAGGGTACGAGTTCCCAGAGTTTTGTGAGTTGTGTGGGAAGGCTCGTGACACTTTGTACCACAGGTTATGGGTTTGTCCTTGTTTGGACGCCAAACGTCGTGAAGCTGTGGGGGATGAGATCGTCGACGGGGTGACGGACTTCGTTTCGCAGGGAAGACATCGCTTGACTCTGGTTACCCGAGGCATCCTGGCTCATCCTGGTGACGAACACCCCCCCCCGCTCGAAGAGGGTTCCTGGGACGTCTCGTGGCGTGGGGACCCGCCTTCAGACAATGTTTTCAGCCTCCAGGGGAAAGTTTTTGTTGACGGTTCCTGCTCTCGGCACGTTATAAAAGAGCTGAATCGTGCGTCCTGGTGTGCGGTTTTGTTTTCCGACGATGATAAGCTGCTGTGTACCATGAGATGCCCTGTGTGGGCCCCGCTCCCTCAGACCCCTCAGGCCGGCGAGTTTTCGGGATACTGGGGAGCGGTCATGTGTCTCACTGGCCCCAGCTCGATCATCACCGATTGTGCCAACGTTGTTACCCAACATGAGCTTCCAAGGGATGCTCAAACCTTTTTCAAACGTATGTACTCTGGTGTCTTTGTTCAGCTGTTGTCCAGGCACGAGCGTCGTCACATTCGTGAATTGCTCAAAATTAAGGCTCACCAGTCCTTGGCTGAGGAAGGCATCTCAGCTCAGGAGGAAGCCGCTCGTCTAGGGAATCGCTTGGCCGACCAAGGGGCTAAGGAGGCCCTTGCGTTTCATCCCTCAGACTCGAATGTGCTGGAAGAAGCTAACGAGTGTGTGAAGTTTGCCAGGGCTGCCTGCAAGCTCGCGGCTAAGTTGCTGCCAGAGTTTGCAGCTCTCAGCTCTATCAAAGATGTGCCTTACCTCCCTGTGGTGAACGTGCCCAAAGCTGCTTCTGGTAACGTTCACAAGTGGTTTAGGTTTGAAGGCTTTTGGCGCTGCTCTCGGTGTTTCCAGATTCGTCGGCCTCGGGACGGTTCGAAACCCCTTCCTGGTCGTTGTTCTGGTTTAAAAGCCTGCAGTGCCGACAAGCTCACCGCCCTTCAGCACAAGTGTGTGATGTTCCCGTGCAGTGACGGGTCTGAGCTTGTGATTTGTATGAAGTGTAAGTTTTACTCCTCCCACGGTACCCTCCGTGGTCTGGCTGCTCGCTGCGACCCCCCTCCCAGTAAGTTCGGAGTTTGGGTTTGGCAGCAGATCTGCAAGAGCCGTCACCCTAAGAGAAAGGGGGTGGTGGTGCAGTTGGGAGTCAATCTTCGTGACGGCTCTAATCTGTTTCAGGACGAGTTGCCCACGGCTGTGAGTGAACCCGTGCCCCCTCCTCCTCATCCGCCTGCTGCCCCTAGACCCATGCACCCGCAGCGTGAGTTGGCAGATCGTTTGAGGGAGGAAGAGAAGGCAAGCGAGTTCCAGGCCAGGGTTCGTCGTCTCTGTATCGCGGCTGGCGCCGCTCCGTCTGTCCCCAGCTCAAATCCCGACGCTGATCAGGACGACTCAGATTAATAGCCGCTCTAATTTTGTTTTGCTCTGGTCGAAGGTGCTGCACATGTCTCACGTTTGTCCAGACAGGCGTTTGGCCTCGGGTTCCCAATCCTTCAGGGATTCGGTGCCTGCCTTTGCCTCGTCGCCTCCCTTCGCCCATCTGTTTGAGGGTGATTGCAAGGCGCCTTTTCTTGTTGCAGGCTGCAAGCGCCATGTGCAGCCTGGGTGCAAGCCCCAATGCGGGACAGATAAGGTGGTTGGAGCCTCAGGGGGAAAAAACCTAAAACAAGGGAAGAGAGGACAAATGGAAGGAAGGGACAAGAGGGATGGAGAAGCATGGAGCACGAGAGAGAGTAGCAGGAGGGGGGCTAGGAGTAGAACTCAAATCGCAAGGATGTCCCGAGCGATAGCGCGATTCCCAAATAGATAATGAGAAAAGTCGGAGGAAGAGCCTGATTCCTGAAAGTCGAAGGCGCGATTCCTACATACAGTGTGAGGCCATTCCGCGCGAGAGCGCGATTCTCAAATGAATATGTGAGGAAGTGTCAGGCGGGAGCCGTTGTTTCAGTTCGGGCACCAGCAACGCATTCTGAGCCCCACGATTTTCCGATGTAAAAAACCAGGTGCAACCAGGTGCGAGCCCGGGAAGGAACACTATAATGGGGAAAAACAAAAAAAACAAAAAAAACTGGGCACCGTGGGGATCAACACTAATCTTTTTTTAGACATACGAACTTAAGACTGTTCGCTCGTATCTGCTCGCGTGCCACTCGATACGTGTATCCCAAGCCTCGATATAGTCGGGGTGTTGACCCAAGGAACCCTACATAAGGAACGGGGCACCTTCTTTCCCGAAGTGAAGCTTCGACTTGCCATCGAAAGCCTAAGGAACACCTGAGGCAGACTGCAAAAGGACTAAGGAACACTGAACCCCTCCCAAATGAAAGGGGTTCCTTCGTCAGCGCCCCGACTGTATCCGTACTCTTCGTCTTCGATGGTGCCCTTTGCGGGCACATCTTCACTACCCGCCACGTGTGTTTGGCGCAGCCCCTGAAGGCGGGCCCAGGCGGCCAGGTCGAGCAGGCCGGTTGCTGAAGCGTGAGTCCTGCATGATGCGCGAGGAGTCTCGAATGATTCCAGAGTCAATCGTGAGAAAGGCCAAAGCGAGACCGTGATTCCTGAGTGTCGAGGGCGCGGCGTCTGAATACATGGCGAGGAAGTGCCACGCGAGAGCTCGATTCCTGCATACATTGAGAGGACATCCTGAGCGAGAGTCCGATTTCGGAATACACTGTGAGGAAGTATCAGGCGGGAGCTGCAATTGTTACAAAGGCTCAAGACGCTCCCTTGTAAAAACCAAGTGCGAGCCCCGGAGGAGAACTCTACTCGACAAAAATAGGCACCGAAGGGCAGGATCAACACTAACGATCCTTTAGAAAAGAAGATTCCACAACACGACTGGCAGACAGACAGACAGACAGACAAGAACGCAGGCAGGCAGGCAGGGAGGAAGACAGAGAGAGAGAGAGAGAAAGGTACGCTGGCAAACAGGCAGACAGGCAGGCATATCTATATATATATATATATATATGTACACATATATATATATGTATATATGTATAAACATACATATATACAAATACATCTACTTAGGTCGGGCCTGTCTCCCTTCAGGGGGATTTGGACGAAAACTAAAAAGTAGTCAAACAAATACCCCCAAATGGTCAACAAATACAAAAAAATCGTCCCCAGGCTATGTTTTGACTATCTTTGAACAGTCCTCCTGTCGAGGGACAGGCCCGACTCAACCACGTGCACGCACACGAAAACATGCAGAAGAAGAGGGGGCGGCAGACAAAGAGCCGGAGAGGTGAGAGGCAGGCGAGGCAGCAGGCGGAACGAGAGCACGAAAAAACGGGGAGGGCGCGTGACGAGGGACGACATCGGCGGTGGACAAACCTCGGCGGTGAGTACAGCTCGGCGGTGCGGTACAGCTCAGACGTGTGCTCCAGGCCCTTTGCAAAGGCCTGCGCTGGGGGGAGGGAGGAACGACAGGGGGAAGGGGGCGCTGGGGGGGGAGGGAGACGAGGAGAATCGGCGGTGGACAAACCTCCTTTTCATAAACCTCCCTCTAGTGAAAACGGCCTGGGACCGAAACCGACGGCCCTGGACCCGCAAGGAGGACGGCCGCGACGCCCCCTCGCGAACCGAAAACGGCCAATGCCTCGATCGACGTGCCGGGGTCGGAGGCCTAGCCACCTCCGACGAGAGACATGGAGGCAGCAAGAGGCAACGGAGCGAAGGCTATGTTCTCCCTTCGTGGCAGTGCAACTTCAAACTCGGTGCTTCCGCTCCCACGCAAGAAGAGCGCGGCTCAGCTCCGCGCTCTGCTCGGTTGCCAGATGGGGACCCAAAGAGTATACACCACCACCACGTCGATTCCTCCTCTCTCCTCTACCAGCTTCTTCCTCCCCTCTTTCCTGGGAGAGGGAGGGGGTGAGGGAGGAGGTGGTGGTGTATACTTTTGGGCCCCCCACCAGAGGCTCAAGCCGCTGCCAGCACCGAAGCGCGAGGACCTGGCACAGCTCCGTGCGGCCTCGGGAGGCTCCCGTTCCCAACGGCAACGTGCCCCTGCCCCCCCCTTAGGAAGGCACCGACTGTACACCAACACCGATCCTGGCCAGGATCACCCTGGGCCCAGGATCGGTGTATACGCCCGCCTGCCTTGCGCAAGAAGGCATATACGCCGATCCTGGGCCCAGGGTGATCCTGGGCCAGGATCGGTGTTGGTGTATAGTTGGTGCCCTCCGACCCCTTCTCCCACACTGCCCCCCCTCTTCTGGCGGGAGGAGGGCCACGTTGGCGTGCACGATGGTGGCCTCCGAGCATGTGCTGTTGATGACGCCGGCTGCGAGACGCGGCTGGCGGACGCGGCGGAGAGGAGTCGAGACGAGCACACAGTCTGGCCGGCGGCTGCGGCCGCAGCCTGCGGACGCGGAGGGGGCAAACAAATAAATGGGGCGCTGAGCGCACAGAACAGCACGCCGCCAGAACGGAGACACCGTCCTCTCCACGGCTCTCCCGTTGGCGCACTCGCGGAGCGGCCCGCGGTGGGGGTGGGGGTGTCCCCGTTTCTCACCGGGTCTTCTCCTGGTGGCTCCTTCCCTGGTGGGCTGGGGGTACCTTCGCCCAGTTGATGCCAGGGAAAAGCATCGACCCATGTCGTGAGATCAGAAAGAACAACAAAATTAACATGACACTCGGAGATCCGCACTGATGTCTTGGGTCGGCGCCAGACCCCATCGAGCGCGCCAGGGGTGCCCAGCACAGATCGTAAAGTCCGCGCGGATCTCCGAAGTATGTCGCTTTTCCTTCGGGTACCCCTGGACGAAGCCTGCGAGGGGACAGCTGAATGATTTGGGCGCCTCCTTCTAAGCCGCGTGACTAGCACAACGTATTACAGCCTACGGCCAGAGCGAGCGGCTACGCGGGTATGCCATCGCGATACCTGCCCGGAGACAGCCAGGGGTGCTGGAGCGCCTCTGCGGCTGTGGGCCGGCCAGCTGGGTCGATGGTGAGCACCTTGTAGGCAGAAACATTTTGTCACGTGCTGCGAAGATCCTCTCCTGCCCCTCCTCCTCCTCTGTCACCTCCTCCCTCTCCTCCTCCTGTTCCTCTGTCTGCTCCTCCTCCCCTCCTCCCTCCTCCTCCTCCTCCTCCTCCTCCTCCTCCTCGCTTTCCTCCTCCTCAGATTCGCATCACGTGACGGATCCAAGTCGCCTGCCTTGGTCAGAAAGTCCAGGAACTCGTCGTCGCGGGTCCGCATTCTCTGCCTCAGGGATGACGCCTTCGGCTCATAGAGGTGAACCACGCGCGGCTCAGAGACACCAAAGCCAGCGGCCGCCGGAGCAGTCTCCGGCACTTCCGAGTACAGCTGCCCGTCGAAAGTGAAAAGCTCGGGAACGAACCTGCCACTGGCCATCATGTGCTCTGGGATGGGCCCAATGATGCCCAATATTCGAGCCAGCACGCCCTGCGCGCAGTCTGCGTGGAAGAGCACTTTTCCCGTCCACAATTCCGCGATTATACATGCCAGCGACCACATGTCGATCTTCTGGTCGTACGGGCAACCCAGCACAACCTCAGGTGCGCGGTATGCGCGCGACTGCACGTAGCCTTAGTTCTTTTGTAATCGCATTCGCAGCCAACTACAACCCTCTGCGAAACTTGCTGGACATTTTAACCGTCGCCCCACTTATTTTGTCAACCGTCAGGACCCAACCCTCCTTTTCAATATGTACGGTAACGCGTGCCATTTGAGGTTATGCCTCCACTCCGCTTCACCACGAACTCATCGAAACGTTCGTCTGAGAAATTCGCACAAGTGCATTCCAACGTAGACCCAAACGCCAAAAAACAGAGTAAACTACACGGTGAATGCACAACAACGCAAGCAATGCGGAGTAACGCAAGGGAACGCAGAGCAATCACAAACAAATGAAAGCTGTGCAGAGCCGTGCAAATCAAAGCGATGCTAAGCAATGCCAGACAATGCAGGACAGGGTAGAGCGGCGCAGAGCGGTGCAGAGCAGCGCAGTGGAACGCCAAGCAGTGCAGACCAGAGCGATGCAAAGCACCGCAAGAAGATGCAAAAGAAGGCCAGCCAACGCAAAGCAGTATGGCGAAACCTGCGGAGCTGAAAAACTCCCCCCCCCCCGGCGCGAGGGACCCCGACCACGACGCAGGGTGCGGCACCCCGACATCCCCGCCGGCGCGCACCCGACCCTGTGGGCGGCACCCACGGCGCGACGTGCAGGACAGATCGTGGAAGCCAAAACTATCCGCCCGCGCAGAAGGGGCGCCCGTGGACGGTGCGCACGCTGGGCGGAACCCACCCACGGTCGGGAAGGCAGCCGGCCGTGCACCCACGCCGACCCCCGCCGGGCGCACCCTGGGCCCAGCGCTGGTGCGCACGCCCTCCTGGCTTGGCCGAGGGGGGCGCACGCACCGATCCGAAGCCCGGCACCGGCCTGGCCGGGATCGGCGTGGATGTATGGCTGGCGCCCTACGAGACGAGGGGGCGGGACCCATGGCGGGACCCATGGCGCAGCCTGCGGAACGTACAAGTCCGGCGTCGGCCCATACCCAGAGCTCTCACCGAGGAGGTGGGTCCCCTTGTCAGTGCACGCACTGCCTGGGGAAACAGCTACGCTAGTCTCGGCAAGGGTTGTGGGAGTGTAGATTCCAACGTAGCATCGTTGCGAGAGGATGAGAGCGCGAGCGCCTCACGCTGAGGGCGCCAGAATGACGATACTGAAAGACGAGAACTTTGCGATTGGTTGCCATCCCTACCCCTACGGGTCCAATCGACGACAAACATCCAACTCCCCCGCTGGGTTTCACTAGGCCGCAGAAATCCTTACATTCTGAGCCCCAGCTGGTTTTTCATAAATCTGCCGACCCCTTGGGGATCATCGGCGTGTGAGATGCTTCCCCCTCCCCAAACCCCTCCCCCCAGAGCCCAGTCTGGTCGATTTGGAAGGCGGGGGGCCGTCCAGCCAGAGGTCATCCGGAGGGGTCAGGCCCTTCCCGGGCTCCTTTTGGAAGTCCACGACAGCCGCTGGGGCCGCCCAACAGGCCCCCAAGACGGTCCAAGACGGCCCCGACGCCCAGGATGGCCCCAAGACGGCCCCAGAAGCCTCCCAAACGGCCCAGGAAACTGCCAAGAACATCCCCAAAAGGGCCCCGGAGGCCAAAATCGTCGAATTCCTTTCGGAAAACCTATATTATTATCATCATGCACGTTTTTTGCTGCCCTCGCGGCGTCGAAGACGGCCCCAGGGTCCCCAAAGACGGCCCCGAAACGGCCCGACAAGTTCCCAAAAGGCGCTCGAAACGGCCCAAGAGGGCGCCAAGACGGCCCAAGAGGCTCCGAAGACGGCGCAAGAGTGCCCCAAGACGGCCCAATGAGGGCCCAAGGGGAGGAGCCTGAACCAACAATTCGAGCATTCTCTGCCCCAAAACGGCCCCAGGGAACCCAAGAGGCGCCCAACAGGGCCCACGGGGCCCCCAAGAGGCCCCCCAAGGCCCCAAGAAGATCCCAAGAGGCTCCCCAAGAGACCCCAAGAAGCTCAAAAAAAAACAAGTACCACTTGAAGCATGTAATTCCTAATCCGCAGCCCAGGCGCCAAGGATCCCACGCCGACAACCAAGGCACGGTGGCGGGATGGTCCGAAGGCCACCATACATATAAGTTTATATAACATATTAATATATATATATATATTATATATATATATAATATAAATATATATATATATATATATATATATATATATATATATATATATATGTGTGTGTGAACTGCCGCGGGCATCTACCTCAATCGAGAAGAAGAAGAGGGGAAGGACGAGGGGGAAGAGGAGGACTAGGAACAAAAGGGAAATAAGATTTCGTCGTCGCCGCCGACGTCTCACATATTTTCGTGGTTCGACCACCCGAGACATCTCCTCGAATTCAGCCTCCAAAAACGTTTTCGGTACCAGGACCCACCGCCGAAAGTCCGGGATGAGGATCGGCCTCCCTGGCAGTGCCACCACATCGCAAAGGAAGGAACACGGGGGGGATCGAGCCTCGAGGCATGAGGCCCCTAGTTCTTGGGCGCTCTCCGCCCTCTTTTGAACCCCACACGCTACGTACGACAGACCAAAACCCCAAGATTACCTAGCGACCGCGCGCGTTCCGCGAATTCTGTTTTTCACTCTCGATGCCGCCCCAAAGGGTCAGTGGCGCGGCGTAAGCCAATGAATTTGACCTGCGGGGGTAGGGTTGACACGTGGTTGCTGGAATATGTACTCTGCCAGAGAATCACAAACCAAAGGTTACAATCGGATAGCAAAAACATGCAACTTTGGCAATCTTCTGCTGCGGAGTCTGCTGACCGATCTGGGGAACCAGCCACTCGGCGATCGATAAGCGCGAAGAATTCACGACTCCTTGGTCAAGCCGAATGCAAACTCTTGCTGCATAACGTTGATCTGGGATCCGTCGGATACGAATGGCCGATCGCTCCGCGATCGTCAGTCGCGAGAAACTACGACACAGCGGCTGCACTGGAGGTGCTCTGAACTTGATCGAAAACCTCACTGGGGAGCCAGATGAAGTTCTAGTTGGTTCCTGGAGAGTTCCCACATCGTCTGATGGCAATCACATACGCCCAGAAGCTGTCGACGCTGAGCCACTGACGACAAAATAGCCTGGCGAAGAACCCAACCATATACGGTTGTGAATACCGCAATTGTGAATACCATCTTCGCCCGCGCTCCCTGTGTGGCCACGGCTTCCCGCTGGAGCCCGACATGCTCAGGAACACGTTCGTGACCGTCTTCGCGGGCGCCGACGACGCCAAGGACGGCGTCCCTCTGACCGAAGAGCAGAAGCAAGAGAGGGCT